AATTTTGATTGATATTGTATTAAATAATTTTATATTATATTAATTAAATTGAATATACGTACACTACAGTGTATATACACACAATGATGAAGATTTGGAGGTATAATTATTGATTAATTTTAAAAATTTATATTTGATACACTATCAGTATAAAAATTTATATATTATCAATGAATTAGATAATACTATCTCATTAATATGATAAATCAGATAATACATTCTCATTAATAAATAAATTTATTTAAAATAATTAAAATTTTATATATTTATTTTTATGTAAAATTTATACACTACTAGTCTATTAAATATAAACTCCAATTTTAAAGTGAAATACTGGAAAGGATGGGATGGAAGTGACTGTTGGCTTTGAAAGACAAAGACTTATACTTAACGGCAACTAACCAACACCAGAAATAAGAAAGGAAAAAAAAAGATGGTCAAACCTTTTGCCATTTGCTTTCTCGATCGTCACTCAGAAGACAGTAAAACATGCACCAACGAATGAGCAAACCACCAGTCAAGTCTACCATTTTCTATTCTCTGTTTTAGCTATATTTATACAGCAACCAACCCTAGATATGTATCCTCAATTGCTCGTCTTTTCCTTTGCCCTTTTGGCTATTTTCTTTCTTTCAAGAGGCGCGTTCCCTTTGCCGATGCCATTGATCTGATCAATGATTATTAGGGGTCCATTAAGGAGCACCGAGAAGTAGTAGTGGAGACAATGAGGAAGCCTTGCTGTGATAAGCAAGACACCAATAAAGGGGCATGGTCGAAGCAAGAAGACGAGAAGCTCATAAATTACATTCGAAAACATGGTGAAGGTTGCTGGCGTTCTCTTCCTCAGGCTGCAGGTTCCTAAACTGCGCACTAAATTACCATGAATATATATATATATATATATTTATTTATATGTGTGTGTGTGTGTGTGTGTGTGTTTGTAAATGGAAAACAAATTTATGATACAAAAAAAAAAATTTGTCAAGGATGAATGATGCTAATTGTATTGCTTTTTTATTTTATTTTTATTGGTATAGGGCTCCTTCGTTGTGGTAAAAGTTGTAGGCTGAGATGGATAAACTATCTAAGGCCTGACCTTAAAAGAGGCAACTTTGCTGAAGATGAAGAGGATCTCATTATCAAGCTTCATGCACTCTTAGGCAACCGGTACCAATACCATATATATATATATATATATATGTGTGTGTGTGTGTGTTAACATCCTATATAGCTGATATATATACCTCCCCTTGTTGAAAAAGTTTTTGAATTAATTGATTAACCATAAAAGGTAAAAAGTATCTATATATCATGCTTAATTATTAATTTTTTGAAAAAAATAGAAAAAAAGATTATTTGGAATCTCAAACCTTTCGCCACCTCTTCAGATGGTTGTGTAATGCCAACTAAACAAAACTCTAAAAATCTAGTAAGATAAAGGTTTAACCGTAATTATTTATTCAATGTACAGTTAAGTAAAAAGGCATTGCTGGTTTGCCGATTATTACTAGGAAACTTATTTTTGTTTGGATATCGCTATTTCTCCAGCCAAAATTAATTTTAATTCTCTTGTGTTATTAGTGTTTTAATTTGTTCATTTGAAAAGCAAGATGCATGCATGTAGTTTTATTTTAGAAATTCAAGTACAATTTTCCCAATAAAAAGAGTAAATGACTGATCGAAAAAAGAGTTTTATATATCAATGATCTTGGGTTATCATGTAAACAAAAATAATTTTCTTGGTTTTTTTTTTTTTTTAACCATGAGAAATTGCTAATATTGTGCTTAGCATTACAAACTCTTTTGAATCTTTAACCAGAAAAGCTTTATATAATGGAACGCGTTTTCAGGTGGTCGTTGATAGCTGGAAGATTGCCTGGACGAACCGATAATGAAGTGAAGAATTATTGGAACTCTCATTTAAGAAGAAAGCTTTTAAAGATGGGTATCGATCCAAATAACCATCGGTTGAGCCACAATTATTTGCTTCCTCAGCGTCCCGAGAATCCACATAATTTCAATACATCATCTGTTTCAAAAGTCCCAGCTACCAATAATATTCAACCAGTGAAATCCCGATGTGACAATGATCAAATTTCAGATGCTGCAAGTTGCTTGGCGGATGAGCCATGCAGCCAGCTCCCTGATCTGAACCTAGATCTCACCATCAGTATTTCAGCTTGTTCCGTTGCTAAACTTGAAGATGACCAGGAACAAAACCACAAACAGTCCAACATATCAAGGGACCTAGAATTCTCCCCATCTCCCACACTTGTTCTCTTTCCATGATCGGTAGTCAATTTGCTTGTCCGAATTAAGGACAAAAACCATTAACTAGGCCAGGTTTCACATTAGCTGGGAATATTGTTTCCTTGTAAATTAAATTAGCTGTACACTTAAAATCCATTGGAACAACGTACATGTAGCAATAAGAGGCATAAATATGCATGCTTTAATCTGATAGATCTGAAAATATTATCTATATTTTTTTAATTTCTTGTTATTGCTCCTCTTTATTGGTTTTGATGCCCAGCATTACTTATTTGTTTCTTTGTAACAAGTAAATTAATAATATGCATCCATTATGTCAAACAAGAAACTTTTGCAATTTGATTCCCAATTGGGTAATGCTGTTCTAAAATATTGTTAGAAAAAGAAAGAAGAATCTACAATGTCTGCAACAATTTGGTAATGAAGACATCAGAAATGGCCACATATACAACATGTAAGAGAAAAAAGACCCCATGTACGATGGTTTTTTTTTTGTTTGGAAAAAATCGTCGATGAATGATGTGGTTAGGATATATTTTACGATTAAATAATTTCTATTGGGCCCTTTGAATGTCCCTTTCAGGGTACAATTTATGCAATATTCGAAGGACAGAGGAAGGAGTCAATATATGTATATCTATGATCTATCCTTGTGATAAGAAGCACTGGAAATCAATTTCATTCAAAGACTTGCCATTAACTTATCCTTATGTATACATATACATATACATACATACATATATACATACATATGTATGCATGTATGTATGTACAATTAATCTATCATGGTAAATGCCTGTTTGATTAAGGATAAGCATGACAAGTTCGAGGTATATTATTAGGGTTTTCGACTTTTGCACTGAAAAGTCATAGCAATTTCTCTTCAAGCATCAAACACTCAAAAGGACATTCCTACGACTGATGTATATTGACCCCAGCTTCTGCACCTACTGTAATTGCATATCCGCCAGGCCAGCTAACGTGAGTTCACGTCATTTCTAAATTTCACCTTGTCGCATAATTTATCCAGGAATTCATGATTTATCACAGACAACAGTGTTGATGCGTCCATCGTTCAATTATTTTTGGTGAAAAATGTTTAGGACGAGGGAAGTTTTTCCATCTCATGATTAAGGTAGATCGTACGAAAGAAATTATTGACAATAAATCCAATTATCATTGCATTAAATTTGAATTGGATTAAGTTATACTCAACCAATCCCGTTTTGTTTGGTAGAGTCATGAATAGTAAAATGATAAAGATGAAGTGATTGGATACTAAATTAGGCACAAATTTTAACCTAATTAAAAAAATCTAGCACAAAACTCAAAATTGGTATAGCATGTACGAAAAGCAGCGAAAATGAAAGAATGATGGCAGGTGAAACGTAGAAGTAGCTCAATGAAGCCATAATCTGCATGTGCCACGTTCAGCTACTCAAACGGCTGCTGGGTCCTTCATTTAGCTGCAGTTAGATTACAGGTCGTTTTCCGTATTCGGCCAAATTACAAATAATTGAGGACCGCAATTAAATGTAGCTTCCCATTTTCTACGACGATTGATAGGCTGGTACTCGGCGTTAGATAGAGGAAGATTTAAATGAAATTTTTTAAGTATAATTTATAAAATATTTTATTAAAAATAGTTAAATGAAAATTAAAATTAAAAATTTTGTTAAATAAATTAAGTGTATATAAATTTTAAAAAATTTAAATAAATTTTGATATATATTTTTTTAAATAAATATTTTTGTAAAAAAATTTATGAAATTTTTATTATTAAATAAATATAAATCAAATTTGAATTATAAATAATATTTTTAATAATATTTTATATATTATTAATATTAAATTTTATTAATTTATTAATTTTAAGATTTTATTAAATTATTTTTAAAAAAAATTTATAAATTTTATCTATAAAATTTTATGTAAATTTTGTCCAGACGTGAGAGCTACAGCAAGTTTCCTAAAGCTTTCTTACCGAAAACTCTTTCTTTGAACCACGGTTGCTGTTTGGTGTGATCAGCCGACAATCGGATATATATATATATGGATATGTGTGGAATGGGTTTGGATATGTGTGGATAAGAAGCAAAGGTTTTTTTTTTTTTTTCAGTTTTTTATTTAGTGATAAAAAAAAATTTAGGAAAATATATAAAATAACTAAAAATTAAAATCACACCATCTGCATCTCTTATCCCTTATCTCTTATCCGATAAGAAAAAAACATTTTTTTTTTAGGGAAATGTTAAGTTGTTGTATAGAATAGATATAAAAAAAATATTTTTTAATATACCTTATTGTAGATACACCAAGCAATAATATTATTGTAAATTTAAATTTTTTTAAACATAACTTGTTATTAATTAAAGATCCATTTAAATAGATTATGAAATTAATTTCGATGAGATTAAAAATAATAATAGCAATGAGATTAATTAATATAATAGTAAAATATATATTTGAATGTAAAAATAATAATGATGATAAGATGAATTGTAATAAAAAATAATCATTAAAAATATTAGAGTAAAAATTACATAAAACAAAAAATTTAAACTATTTAATATTTATAAAATTAATCAATAATTAAAAAAATATTTTTAAACAAAATAATAGTTTTGTTAATAAAAATAAAAAAATAAAAATTGATTTATTATGTTAAATTAATAAAAGTATTTCATAAGTTTTAAATAAAAATAATTATAAAGATATTGTTGTCTTCGTAGAAAAGGAAAGAAACCAAAGCCAATGGCCATTCCCCCAGTGGACCTATTTCTACCAACAAAGAAAAGAGGCTCCAAATATCATTAATTTCTTCAACTGTATCACCATCGTGTCTCTTAAATGGATCTTTAGTAACTTTTAAGGATGCAATTGGTATTCATCGTGGGTGTAATTGCATCGACATTGACCCTAAAACAAAGAGAATAAATATGAGAAAATCAATTAATGTTTTTCAAAAGGAAAAACATGTCAATTTTTTTTATTTAATTTCGTTAAATATTTATTGCCAACGAAAGTTGATCGATCATTTATAAAGTTTAAATTCGATTCTCATTTACAGTTGTATTATGCCCTGATTTTAGAATGAAGTAGCTTCCTCTCGCCTGAATTTTTATGCAAAAAAAATTATCAATTGCATTTTTAAAGTTATTCTTATCAAGATAGATAAGAGTTATTTAAATATATATAGTTTATCATCTATCTACAAATGATAGATACTCAATTGAATTTGGATGCACTGAATTGGTCTATATATTAATTACTTATAAAATTTGTAAATTGTGAAAAATTCTGAATAAAAAAAATTATAATTTGAATCCACTTCAAAAAAAATATATTTTTTCCGTCTTCAAAAAGCTTCATACTAGTTTGTTTTGGAGACCCTATTAGTATAAAATTTTAGATGGAGATTGAATGAATTATAAAATGTCTTTGGGCTGAGCAGTAAACTTGGCGCAATCTTATTGGTGTTTAAAACTCAAGCCCATGTTTCCAAGTAATTGGGTGCAACCTTATTGGCATACATGGAAAATATAATCCTCGTTTCGGCCCAAACTATGATCCTCACCAACCATTCACGTCTTATTTCATGATTCCACATCACCTTGTTATAATTGGAAAAAAAAATTATGTATTTATGTACAAAATATTGTTTCATACTAGTATGATTGGAAGATTATAAATAATAAATGTTTAATAATTTTGTACCTAAAATTGAGAAACTCCGGTGATAATATATAAAAAATTTAATATATATATTTGTATATATTTATATGATTCAAACAGTATATGCCCCGCCATAGCTATGAAGAAAGTTAGGATTTTAATAAATTGTATGAATAGAAAATTAATAATGCCTCGTATAATATAACGATATTGCCATCATATCATGTCTTCCAAATGGATCCCACGTTAGCACGTACAAGAGACAAGGGCTTTAAAAAAAACTAATAAGATAACATAACAATAGATAAAAAGAAGATACGTACCTTTGGTTATTATAGATGTTTGTCTTCGAAAGACTGACAGCTGGCCTTTTTTTTGTCAAAGCAATCAGAACTATGTTTTGTAATTAGTTTAACAGTTAGACAACCAATGAGTGTATGACCCAGTTGGAAGTTAAAATTTGACCATAGTAGTAAAAACGGTAAAAATAATGTAACCGAGGTAGGGAGATCATTTAATTTAAGAATTTTTGTCTTGGATTCTCATCCTTGAGCAATTAAATATTTTATAGTTTGTTAATTAATTATTTGATTAGTGTAATTTGATTATAATATAATAATTAATTATTTAATTGATTATATAAATATAATAGTTGATTATAATTGTACTAATTAAAAAAAAATAAAGTCAATAAGAAATCAGTTGAAAGCTAGCCATTTTGAGGATATGACTCAATAATTTATCCATAGAATAGAAACTTAGCTTAGCGCTCTCCGTGTTGAAAAAAAGGGAAAAAAAAAGAATGAAAGAGGGAGAGAGATTCTTTTTGGTGTTGGAGACAGTTCGAAAGGCGATGGAATTTGTCAGAAACAGCAAGATTAATGATGGTCTTTTGGCTTCAACAAGAAGTCAACTACAAAATCCAAAATCCAATTTCTGTTTGTTTATTTGCCAAAAAAATTTTCTGTTTGTTTCCTGACCCCAAAAAAATTTATGTTTGTTTGACTAGAAAAGAAGAAGTGTAATGGAAAATTGTTGTTGCTAACTAGCACATGGATGGAAACTGAATCTGGGAAGTGAGGGACAAGAACATGCAAGTCTTTAAACTTTCAATTAAACTTTGGCTTTTAACACAAAAAAAAAAAAAACTTTTTCAAATTGTAAATCATTTATTTTTGTCAAGAATATCTTAATTTAATGGTAAAAAAGAGGTTTAAAATTTTTTTTTTGTTGGGATCCAGTATGTGTGGTGTTGGATCAAATTATGTTGAATTTCATCTGATTATCAACAGGATTTATTGATTAATTTATTTATTTTATTGATTTTTATATGGATATAATAGTTAAATATTGTGATTGTTATTTTTTCTTTTGTAACTTCATGCAAAAGAATATTATATTTATAATACAATTTTAGCATTTAATTTACTAAATGTTGTAATAATATATCATTATTTTTTAGATAAAAAATTCCTTTTTATTTTTCATATTGGGTTAATATCATGATTCTCATAAATAATTTCTAAATTATAATAAAATATTTAATCTGATATTTAAAATTTAAAAATATCTAATGTGATACTTTGAAAGTTGTTTGTCCATCATATTTTATTATTTGAAATTAATCACGTT